AAGTATATTATTTTTAATTGAAACGCAATCAATCTCCTAAGTGTAGAAAGTAGAACAATTTAGAAACTATTTACTTTTCGAATTTCTATATGCATCTACATTTTCAGATGTTTTGTTATATCGTTCAAGGACTACGCACTCCTTAAATTCCGTTATGATTGAATTATTTATGACTTGGAGTTTAGTCGATATTCCATAGAAATCAGAATTATCCGTATATGTGTACTTACTACTTACTGTGTAGAATATAATATATTATAATTATAATAATCGATATTTGTTGCGATCGATATTCAAAACGAACTTCAGTGCAATTTCAATTGGTTTAAATTTTGTACAAGTACGTACTCGAAAAGTTTTATTTTCACTTTAAACCTTACGGATACCAAGCGCGCTCGCTGGTTGTTGATCGACAGATCTTTGTTCCGACCCGATGGTATAATGCGACGGCGCGTGTACCATCGGCACGAGGGTATCGTCCCCGCGAACGGATGCCGGAAACACTGGGTGCAGACCCTTGTCCTGTGAGATTCCACCGAACACCGATTATGGTATTGATATCGTCATCGCTAAATCGTATTTTTAGAATTATATTGTATAGATAATAAATAAAAAAATAGAAACACAATTAAGCTGAATATTGAGATGTTGTATGATGATTTTTTTTTTTAATAATTGGACTCGTAATAAAATACGAACTTCGGCATTCGATTTATTAAACCCTTATACTGTTGGCGCCATGAAAACTGGTGCTGGTAAACGGCGTACTTTTAGAAAAATATCTATAGATTTTAAATATAATTTTTTACATTTATAAAGCTATAACATTAAAAAAAAAATCCAACTTTTTATTAAATTTCATAAGCATTTCGTGTTTTAGAGCTACTCTACTGTAGAGAGAACTAATGGTTCTGCCATGTTCTATAAAATCACGTCAGTGTTAAAAAATTAATTTTCCTTCTCCTCCACAAACTATTATTCCGTATGAAATGGAAGATTCTCTGAGGGATTACTTATATTAGTATTGATCTTTTCTTACTAGTATTTTATGCTATTCCGCCGTTTTTTGTATTCCATGTGAAATGGGCATTTACCTGTTCACCACACATTCAGCTGAAATATTAAATTATTATAATATATTTCCCTGGAATATTTCGTTTATTAGATTCTGAGTGAAACGATGAATGTATTGATTTTACAATGATGTGTGTTTTTTTATTTTTTTTTTTATTTTTTTTTTTATTTTTTTTTTATTTTTGTGTCTGTCATCACGTTTTAGGACAGTAAAAGTGCTTGGATTTTCTTCATCAGTAGCTTTTCTGATAGGAAAGTGAATCTAGTTGGTACTTTGGGGGGTCAAAAGTATAAATTTCCCAGTAGTTTTCACAAGCGCCGGGAAAAACAACATAAAAATTAAGGAAAAACGGGAATTTTTACGCAAAATTGGTTTTCCAAAAAATCGATTTTGGTTTTTGGTGTAACTCTGAAACAAATGAACGTATATACATGAAATTTTCACTGGTTGTTTATATTTGCATTTTCTATACACGATAACATTTTCAAAATATTTTGATTTATTTTGAACTGTTTAGGGACATTTTCATTTTCCATTTTTTTTTAGTTTTTTTTCTAAAAATATCAATAAAATTTTATTTGTTGGTTGCGAAAGCTTGAAAATTTAATAGAAGGCTCCTAATATATTGCTTCAAAGGCAGATGAAAAATATTAAAAATCCTTAGTCACAATTTTTTTTTATAAGCATTTAAAGTTCAAAAATTGACAAAATATGGGAAAATCACGAAAATTAGCAAATTATTTTGAGTTAAGAATTCGTAAAAATTTTTCTTTTTAAATCTAAGATTTGAAAATTAAACACAAGATTCCTTATAAGTTTGTCTACCTTTATCAAAAGAAAAATGTTTATAAGAAAGTCAAATTAAATTTTTATGAGCGTTTGAAATTCAAATTTTTACAACATTGAATATTCACTCGATTTCCCATGTAGCGATTTCCTTATTTTGTTGTAATTCAAAAACAAATAACTGTAGATACATGAAAATTTCACTGAATGTTTAAATTAGCATTTTCTATACACCATACAATTTTGAAAATATTTTGACTCTTTTTGAGCTGTTTATGGACATTTACAGCTTTCAATTTTTTTTAGTTTTTTTTTCTATAAATATCAATAAAGTTTTATCTGTTGGGCCAAAAAGTGTAAAAATTTAATACAAGGCTCCTGATATATTGTTATAATATCAGTTGAAAAATATTAAAAATACATAGGCACAGTTTTTTTTTATAAGCATTTAAAGATCAAATTTTGACAAAATTTATCAAAATCTCGAAAATTATCAATCATTGTAATTAATAAATTATAAAATGTTCAGTTTTTATAGCTAAGGATTGCAAATTCAACACAAAGGTTCTCGTAAATAGTTCATACTGTAACCAAAAAATCTAAAAAATATATGAACACAGTTATTTTTTACAGACATTTTAAATTCAAATTTGGACGAAATTTCATATTAAAAAACCTAGAATAACTATTTTAGTTATTTTGTTGTGATTGAATAATATTATTCGTGGATACTTGAAACTTCTAAAGTGTACTTTTATATATCTATGATAGTATCACGGTTTTTGTTGATGTATAACGCGTTATAAGTACCTAATGGATATTTTGATATGATTAATTTGGAATTTATTATAGGTACCCATTATAGGTCAATTTTTTGTTTAATACCATAGATATGTATATAATATGTCTTATACATAGACTGACATACCGTCTGCGCTCAGAATCGTTTTTCTTATACAATGATATTATATCGTTGAATTCAAATTTAATATCATCCATTATACAGTGACCCACTTGTAACCTACTGTACAGCAGAGCGACACCCACTTGCCCACCTTTTGTGTTATTATATTTTCAAAATATAATATTATAAAATTGAAATCGAACGACCAAATACTCGAAACCTATCAATGAAAATTGAAAATATCAAATTATTGAAACGAAAATGATTTTTTTCTAGAGTATAAATGATAATAGAAATGTCTGAAAATGTAACAAATATAAAATATACAATGAATTCTATTGTATAACGAGTGCGTCCTGCGGACGTGTATATGATCGTGTGTTGGTTAAAATGAAACCGTCTCGGCGACCATAGTCGTACACAATATATATAGCGCGGCGTGTTCGAGATTGCTTATAATATTATACGATGCCGGAAAGCAAAAGTCCATCGGAGCGATATATCCGTCGGGGAGGGGGGGTGTAACCTGTACGAAACCGAAAACAATACGCGCGCGCGTGGTAGGATAATAATATCGTCATAATAATAATTATCATTATCGCTATCGGGCACGCAAACATCGATCGTCGCGCGGCTGCCCGGTCCGCTCCCCCGGGGACTGCGATCGCGTAGGCCGCGGCGAACGCCGTGGTCCGGGCCCGTGCGCGTTTTCACGGCGAGCAATAACACAAACCGGTTTCGCAGAAAACGAACACCCCAACAAGCGCGGCTTCGGCGGCGGGGTCAAAACCAGTAAAAACCGAAGGTCGCCGTGGTGGCGATACTATAATACCTGTGCACACTGCACACACACACACCCACATTTATATAAATTATATTATACGTATATAATATTATAATTTACAATATGCACGTACAGTGTGCGCGCGCGAGAGCGATGTGGGCCATGGCCTAGTTCTCGTCCGGTCGTCGTCGTCGTCGTCGTCGCGTATACCGCGTATACCGTACGTCCGCCACCACCGCTACCGCCGCCACCGCCTTAATGCCGTAGAGAGCGCGCGCGGGCGCGAGTGTTTTCGTGCGATGCATGCGTAACGCGCGTGCGCGCACGCGCTAGTCTACGACGACTACACAGTACACACCACCACACTACTACACCACCACTACTACTTCTACAGTACTACTGCGACGGACGACCATTACACTCCGCGCGTCCGTGTTGGTCGGTGTTGCCGCGCGGTGTTCGCTCGTCGTCTCGTCGTCCGTGTTTTTTGTGCTTTCCGTTTTTACTTTTTTGTATTTTATTTTTCTCCGCCGCGGGTTCGTTTCGTTTAATATTTTCACGGGACGTGTTTGTGACCGTAGTGTTTTTTTATTTCGTTTACGCACCCTTTCACGCCGTCCAACCATCGTCTGGTCGGTCGGTCGGCCGCCGCATCGGGACGAAACAATGTGCGCGTATCGCGAACGCCGAAAACGGACGTCGCTACTGTTTCTGCAAGGACGGTCGACCGAAATTCGCATTATCGCCAATCGTCTACGCCGCCGCCGCCGACGCCTTCCGATGGATACTCTTGGAGACCTTTTTCAAAGGTACCTATAGTTTTTTTTTATTTTCATTTTTTACCGCCGGCCGAGAAATCAATCATTTCTCTCGTTTATGCGCGTTGCGCGTCGTATGACGAGAGAGAGCGCGAGAAAGCCAGTGATTTTCTACGTTTGTGGCTCGATCGCGTGAAATTCAGCGACGGTTAGTGTCGTCGTCGTCGTATTATTTTTTTCCGTATATCATATTATTCAAATTACGAGATTTTTCTCGTAAAACGTTCGTCGAATTCGAGCGCGTGATATAAATCGGTTTTTTGTATAACAACTTTAAGTTTGCGTTTTATCAAATCGGGGATCGTTTATTATTATTGTAATGCCATATATTAATCATACCGACTTAGGTACAGCAAAAAAACATTCATAATATTATTACATATTAAGCATTATTATATTTTATTATAATGTATACCTACTTGAATTGTGTTTGTATTGCATTAAAAAAAAACCCGTTAATAATTCATACAGCACGTACACCGTTGTCTGGCCACGAACGACCGTGTTGTTATAATATAGATAGGTATATATTATAATATTATAAACGCGACAGGTGCGTACGGTTTTAGCGCGTGTACGATTTTATTATATGCCCGCGATTATAATAATATGACGTATAAGAAATATAATATTTTATATAACATTATCTACGTCTACGTCTATTGCGAACGTGCGGTCTTTGGTCGTAGGAAATCGGTCCGACGCAGTTTTCTGGGCGAGCACGGGGCACGTCCTTTGCCGAAGCGGCCTTGGGTCCGGTAGTACACCTCGCCTTGCGCTTTGAGGATAAGACTCGTTAATCGTTATTATAATGATGATAATATTGTCGTTGTGAAATTCGTTCGGCGCCTCACAGTTGTATAGTGACGATGGCTTGTCGATCGTCATGGTGTTTTGAAAACGAGCCAAAATATGATGTACGGTTACTATGTTATTACATCGGTCTGGTCTGGTTTTGTCTGGGTCGGCGGCTACGTGTTTCGATCGATCATTGCGATCGACGCAATAATTATTATTCCGCGTATACTGTGAAATACGATTTTGTGCTGTAGGTATTAAATCTGCGGCAGATATGACGAATCCTCCACACACACGTGTCATGTATAACATGCTCAATGATTGTTGAAATTGCGATCAGTAGAAATAAAAAGCGAGGGGGGTAAACACAAAATAGGCACGTAGAGACTAAGTATTAGGTACCTACACCTTTTTATTAGTTAAATAATAAACGAAAACATTATCCTTCCAACTTTGAAATAGTATCTAATGATTAATAGTAATCTTTCTCTTGGACTCGCGATGTTGGTATAGGTATTAGTATTTTACACAATTTTCTATAGTACGTAGGTACACTTAACTCGACCGACAACTGAAGAAGTCTGTATGGACTCTGTGCTGGTAGTTTTTAGTAAGTATTACTACCTATTAATCATATAGGTCGTAATTTTAAAATTGTTGAACATATTATTATTATTGTCTGTGAACATTCGCTATTTAATTATCGTGACGAGAGCAAACTTTCCAAATACAAGTTTTCACGTATCACTGTTGTGAACTCTTTAAGATAAAGGTTTACTAATCGCAACCATAGTTCATTATGCGAAAACGCGATTATAAATGCTCGAAAAATTGTTGCTTGTGTAGGGTAACGGCGGCGTCTTAATAACAGTGTAATATAATATATTATCTGATTCTGATAATATAATAAATAAATAAAATGCGTTTAAAGCGTTTTTCGCTTTTAAATCATATTAGAATATTATTTGTAACTATAGTATACACATTACTGATTTGACTTGCAACCACTGCGTCTGTGCAGGTCCCAAGTTTTAACAAATTATATCGTATACGTATATTAAAAAATATATTTGATGGGTTAATATATTATTATTGTATTAAATATACGTCAAATATATACACATCGTAAAATAATATGTGAAGCCATGTGCATGTTTATAATAGTGTTGCACCACTCTGAGAGTGCATATTTTGTATTTTGCATACCTTTATAACCTATTGCTGTGCTTGCAGTGTGTGCGTAAGTAATTTATACTTATATCGTAATTATTAACAAGTAATAACATATAATTCGATTTATGTATATTATATTTAAATGGAACGTTTTATTCATTTCAAATCTGCCGTATGTCGTGTATTATATGAACGGGACAAAAGATATTATATTATTATCGTATGTGTATATAAAATATATAATATAATATAAAGTTGTGCTGCACGTCTGCACTGGTTGTACGAAAAAAAAAAAATGGAGAAAAAATTGTGTCGAGTTCGTCACGTAATCTTTTCGATTTATCGACGGGTTAGCCCATTAATATTTATACGGTTTACGATAGTGCCTCGTACAGTATAATATATAATAATATGTACAATATGTACATAATATTATTATATCTATGTATAATACGACCTAGGCCCGCGTTTTGCACGCAGCCTTGATCATCATCTTTCCGACCGGATTTCGATCGTGTCGTTGTGTCATCGTCCACTCAGTGGCGTCATTTCAGTTTTCAGTAGAGGGGGGCAAAGGTTTTGACCGGCCCGAATGTGTAAAAAAAAACCGCTCGCTTCGCTCGCAACCGCATTATATCTACTTACATTTTTATCAAATTACCATACCCAACCTCACTTATTTGTAATTATACTCAATAAGATTTTTTTTTGGTATAATTTTTACAAGCTTATTTATTAACTGGTTAATAACAAAATGTACAAATATATTATAGCAGATATTTTATAAAAACATCTGTACAATCCTATACCAATTAAAACTCTGTAAACTATTAAATATAACAATTTTTATTAATTAAGAAAAATATTATTAATTTATCAAAGGATATCTTCTTTTTTTAATTTTTGAAAATATATCAACCGCATCATCTAAATTAATTTTACCTGATACATCACTTTCCACCGCAATGACCAGTAAATCACTCAGCCGTTCATTTCCCATTGTTAGCCGTAGATGGGTTTTAACTAATTTTAGAGAAGAAAAGAAGCGTTCATTGGATGCAGTAGTCACAGGCAAAGTCATAAGGATATTTATAATTTTAAGAGTTTCTTGAAAACCATTTGGAAGTTGGTTTAAAATTTTTGAAATAGAATAAAGGTCATGAATTCCATCATCTCTGTCTATGTTTACATGATTTATTAAATTTTTTGCAGATGGAAATTCACATTGAAGATTTTCATAATTAATTTTAAAATGTTTATAATGATCAATAAAGGTAACTAAATGGGGACTTTTTAAATTAAAATAATCAATACTAGAGGATGAGAAAATGTTACAAGTAAGAACTATTTCATTACTAGGATTGCTGAAGCGATGGTTTAGTTCATTCAAAAACCTAAAACAATAAAATAAAAAATATATACTATCAAATTAATGCAGATAAAAGTAGTTAGTTTTTCAATTAAATGATACTTATTAATAATTTTGATTTAAGTTTTTACCTGTCAATTGCAGTATAAAAAATAATTTTTATATCACTCAATGGCAAGTTATTTTCAATTGATGTATTGCTATTATTTTCATAAGTTCCTTGTCCTATTGTTGATTGAACAAAAAAATCTTGAAGATTTCTATTTAATCTCACTGGTCTTCTATTTCTTGAACTATTTTCATAGACTATTTCATTTTTTTCAGCAACTAATTTTGCGCTGTTATTAATTTTATCCCAAAATGTATCGTTACGCATTTTTTGGATATTTTGCTTCGTATTTTGTAACAAATTAACCGCTGAAGATTGTATAATACTTGCGCCTTGAAGTTCTACTGAAGCACAGTGAATAGTTTGTAATAAAATCTCCATAGCATGAGAAGTTTTTATAAATGAAATATTTGAAAATTCTTTTAATATACCAATAGCTCTTGCAGTTTGATCTCCCTGATGACTCAGTATTGATAGAACTTCTAAAATTTCAGTAAAACGCATATTAACTTTTTGTATTGATTTATACCAATATGCCCATCTTGTTTCTACCAACCGCTCCAAATGAATTACAGGTATTTGTTTATCTTTTTGAGCTCTGACAAATAGCTCATACCTTGTCTGCCCATTCATTAAAAACTTATACAAGTTTTGAATTGTATTGAAAAAATTACATAAGTGGGGTATATTTTGTAGCGTTTGAACTAAACATAAATTTAAACGATGAGCATAGCAGTGGACATAAATGGCATGAGGAACTTTGGAGCGTATTCTTTCTTGAACACCGGAATACTGCCCACTCATAACAGAAGCTCCATCGTAGCATTGTCCAATACAGTTCATGATATCCAATTTATTTATTGATAGTATTTTAATTATTTCACTTGCCAAACTTTCAGCATTTGAATTTGCCATGTGGTAGCAACCAATTGATCTCTCACAAATATTTGATTCTTTGTCTACAAACCGTATTAAAAAACTCATTTGTTCTTTTTTTGATAAGTCTTTGGTTTCATCAACCATAATTGTATAAACGCCAAACTTATTCATAGAACTTAATATAATCTGCCTTGTACATTGAGCTATACTACTTATAAAATCATTTTGATACTCAGGACTAGTGTAGTGACCGTAACGTGCCTGTAATCGTAATTTTATTTTATCATCAGCAAACATATCTAACATTTCTAAAAAATTCCCTTTGTTTTTAGAAATATCAGACTCATTATGTCCACGAAATGCTAAACCCTGTTTTGACAGAAAAAGTGCCGCCTTTAGTAAGAATTTTACGTGTTCTCTATTTTCAATAATATTTTGTTGTCGTACGTTATTAACTTGATTAGCGATAGATAGTGAATGGTTTTTTTTAACTAGAAGATAATCGTTCCAACGCTGTACACAAATAACATGAGTCTTACATTTCTGATGATTGTTCAAAGATAAGGTCTGTTCCTTCCAAATTTTACATTTTGAACCATAATTAACAAAACATAAATTACCAGCAGTTTTTCCAGAGGCTATAATGTTGGCAGAAAAATGACGGCATGGAAAACAGAAAATTTCATCTTTTGATACAGAATACTCTATCCAGTTGTAAATTTTATAATGTCTACTTGTAAATCGTCGACCATTGGTAGCGGGGAATAACATTTCTGGCTGAACTAGTTCATCATTTTTTGATAAAGATATATCATAATTTTCTTGAAATACATTTGTAGGCAATTGAACCTAAGCACAAAAAGTAAATGTTAGTTTTAACTTCTTCAATTATTTTAAATTAGGTAAATATATAATATGCTGTGAGCAGGGACAGATTTAAAAGGGGGCAGACTCAGTCACTCAGCACTCAGAGGGCCAGAGGCAGAACATAATGGTTTTTTTATACACCCAAATATAAAATAAAATATACAGGTAGGTACTATAAATATTATTTTTCAATACAAAAAATTGATAAAAATACAATTAAATATAAATAAATTGTTTGACTATACTTATGAATAAAATATTATTTGATACCTATGTTTTAATAAGTTTTTACATTAAATATATAAAAATAAAAATATTTAATATAAAAAGGATTTTTATTTCCTATCACACATAAAATTACTTAGTTATGTAAAGTAAATGTGCTGATTTTTTAAATTTGTAATAAATAAATAGTACCCTGTACCAAACCTATTTCCTATAAACAATATTAAATGTATTATGCATATTAAAAATAATTTGTTTGGATTAACAGAAAGTTAAGGAATTATTCCTAAAAGTAATCCACTTAAGTTCTAATTTAGCACCCCTTGTTTTCTAAGAACTATCATAATTATAATTAAATACCATCAATCTTATGTTTTCAATACTTTATCAACCCCACGTTTTAGAGGTCTAGTTTCACATATGAAAATAATCCTTAAATAAAAACATAATGTACGCAAGTTATTGTATATTTGTTTGGTACTTACTGGATCACACATGAGTTGTTTTTCAATTGTAGGAATAGAAACATCAACTGCTGATCTTGGCACAACATCCTAAAATAATGAGAAAGTTAAACATTTGTTTATAAATTGATATTTTCAATAATTTTGTTTTTACTAAACTTTAAAAAAATGTCATACCATATTGTCCATTCTATCATCTTCATTTGTAAATGGATCT